AGGTTTATGAGGAAGAATTAGTATTCTGAGCCTTCAGCACTTCTCCCAGTAGATGTTAACTGAACAAGGGTTTTAATGAAGGCCAGAAATAAAATTGTTATGAAACAAAGTGGTGGCCTTGAGTTTCCTTGAGCCTTGGCTCTTCGTGTGTAAGTTGCTATTAATTACTCTTCCCCACTGGAATTTAGTAAAAATAAAAAATGTGATGACAGGTATATGGATCCTGTAGTGTTGGTAGTTATCTAAGTACTTCAGAGAGCATCTTCATTTGTAGTGAGAAGTTTGCAATCTTAAATTAGGAGTTCTCAGACAATTAACACAACATATGATTTAAAACATAGCATTTTAATTAACCCCACAGGGGGAAAATTATTAGCAAGAACCACAAGTAGGTATGTCAAAGAAGAGCAAGGAGGCAGTGATATGTATATTTGTAATATTTGTCTTCCCCTAAATTCCTACCTCAAACCAAAGGCAGTTTTGTTTTTTCAAATGAGCTTGGTCAAAGTTTTATTCTTCCTACACTGTTGGGATTAAGTTATGACAGGACTTCAGCAAGTTGTCCAAAAAGCAGAAGATATTCCATTTTTAGCTCCAGAGTTTTTATAGTATAACATCTTTGCTCCCCTTTGAAGTTTTTGACATGGAAGTCCATTATAAGCAATAAGGATTGAAGTGCTGCTGGAAACATCAGTCACTTTTACCAAGAAGCAGGTTGCTGAAGTTGTTTGAAACAGTATTAAAATAAGCTGTTCTTCTAGGTAGTATTTCAAAAACAAAGCATTGAAGACTTTATGCTGAAATTGCAATACAGCTGCATTTCCTTATCTTAATGCAAAGTGTATTTAAATTTGTATTAAGTATTTTTCCAGAAAGGCATTAGAGGTGACAGAGGTTATCAAGTGTTAAGATTCCAACTGCAGTTGCACTGAGCTGATGGTGTAACAATCTTGCTTCCTCCCTTTCCTCCTCAGCTCAACCCTCTTCACATACTGCTTCACCTACAGCATATCCCCCATTATGGCTCTAATACTTACTGGGGCCCTTCTGATTCCCACCCCACCTTCTCTCTGACCATTGCCACAAGTGAGGAGGAAAAAACAGACATCTTTAATGCACCAGTAGAATTAAGTATAAGACATTCCCTAGTCAATTTTGTCAACAATGACATAAGGCTCCTGGATTTCATTTATTTTTGAATGATAGCTTTCCCCCTTTACTTCAGCAAATGCAGGAGAGTCTCCTTCAGGCTGCAGCAACAGGTTTCTTCTGCCCTGTGCATGAGGGCTGCTTGTGCTTGGAGACTGGACATGAATACTTTGTGGTGGGATGTAGGTGGGATTAGGTGGCTCCCTAATGTGTCTGAAGTGCCCACAAGCTCTGTGAGTGGCAGGACCATGCATTAACAGTCTCTTATTCTCAGATCCATTGGTGGGGTCCTCCCTGTTCCTAACAGAACAGCATAGATTTGAAGACAGTACAATATGTGCAGCTGGACTACTCTGTGTCTGAGCATTACTTGGGTGTGCACAGTTTAGTTTAGAATGATTAAAGTCTCTTACACTCCTGTCACTTGTACTTAAATATGCTGTTGACTCAGGTTGCCCAGTTTCTTCTACTGGATACATTACCTCTTCTTGAGCTTCCTTGATTTGTAATTTAGTAAAGGTTAAAGACAGCTCACAAATTTCCTTATCCTTGGGGACCCTCTGGTCGGTGACAGATACAATGTCTTCGTACGGCAGAGACTGCAGCTCATTGGGTTCATCTACAGGCTCTGGGTCTATGCAGTTTATGGCATCGCTAATTTTTGCCTCAATTGATTCTTCAGCGACTTCTTGAGCTTTGTATTCCAAATTGCTTTTATTGTCACAAGAGCTGTTGGCAAATGCTGCAAAGGCAGGCAGACCACTTGCTCCTGGCAAGAGTGGCACAGGTGGGATCTCATTTTCAGTTGCCTGTGCAGTGACTGCCAAAACACATTCTTCACTTAAACTGCCTCCTGGCTTTTCCTCAAAAGCTTTTTGAGAGAGATTCTCACTGAAAATAGGTGTTTGTCTTATGACAATGTCACTATATTTGATCAAGAAGTCCTCACTGTCTGAGCATTTGCCCGGAAAGTGCACTGTGTTGGTGACTTGCCTTTGGTGTTCCTGAAGCCTGTTAGTGGATTGAGTAGCTGCTAAGTGAAACCTGTTGTCTTTGATCTTAAGGTTCCTAAGAGCTTCAAAGGATTTATCACTGTTAGTTGAAGACTTAGGCTGAGCAGCAGGGCACAAAGGTGTCTCGCTGTTTTCTTTGTTTTCCAGATTTTCAGAGTCTTTTCTTGGGAGTGTCTTATCCTCTTTGTCTCCATCTCCCTGATGCCAAATCATCTGTGTTCCTTTCTGTAGGGTCTTCTCCAAATTGCCTTGTTTTTCGTCGTTTGTCATTTCGAGCATGATTTCACACTCAATTCTTGCCAGGAATATTTCAAATGCAGTCTGCTTTGTTTCCTCATTGTTTCTCTTTCTGACAAGTGAAAACTCTGTTGCTGTTGTTGCAACGTAGCCTATTTTCTCCAGCACTGTTTTTAATATGTCATCTGGGAGCACAGATTGAATATAGTAGACAAAATTACCAGTGAACGTCTGAAACAGAATGCAAGATTGAGAAACAGATGAACACTGACAAAACCCATAAAAGGCAAGAGACTTCCTAGAAACTCAACTTCAAAATTATTTTAAGTTTTTCAGAAAGTATTTTCCTATACGTCTTGCTGAACTAAGTGAAGTTTTTCCAATAGTGTTATTTGTCAGTCTCTCAAATATTACAGCTTTGGTGCTAGCATAGTAATTTCTGAGGAATCATGCCAGTTTAAACTAACAACTGGCATACTGGCCCATAGCTTCAATATTTAAAAGAAGAAAGATTTTGGTCAAACTAGAAAAAATGAGAATAAAGAGTGTGTTCCACTGAAGAATGTAAGATTTCTAAACAAACGAAAAAATCATGAAATAAATCACTGAGGCCTAATCTTTTCCTAAAGGGAAAAAAAAACACAATACACTTATTAGTCATATTATTTAATCTGTGATGAAACTATCATTTTCTTCTGGGCTTAGGCTTCTGCTTTAACCTTACTAAATTTACAGGGTTAAGTTGCTATTTCTTTGAAAACACCTTCTTTCACTTCCAAGGAATGTTCTAGAGGAGGATCTAAAACATGCATGCCTTGCACAAACTCTTCAGAACTTTACTTGCATAAATGTTGCTACTGTGCAACAGCTAAGGAACTGTTGAATGCTTGGCTGCATGTTGGAGCTAGCAAAGGCCTAGATTTTAATGTAAAATTGTTTTGGGTTTTGCATGAAACCCTGTGATGAGACAGGTGTTGACCAAAGCACGAAGAGCAACTCCTGGCAAGTCAGGCCAGGATAGAGCCAGGAACACAAAGTCAAGGATTTCACAACCTGTGTTCCTTGTTTTCAGGCTGTCCTTGAGACAGACCTAGGTACTTCGTGACACAAAGTCAGACCTAAAAGTGGTCCCATAAGTGCAAGATTTGGGAGTAGAACAAAGCAGACCCTGCAAGAAGGCTGTAATGCAAGGTAGGACAGTTGTTCTCAGCTAAAGCTGTCAGTGACTTTTGTTCCCCTGCTCCTGGTCCCTGAAGCAGGGAGCAGGGTAGTGGCACCAGTGCTGGGGGAGGCAGCAAACAGGCGCATGGAGGGGGTTTTGATCAGTTCCTTGGTCATGGACATGGCTTGTTCTTCTACTTGTGCCATTCAGGGCACTTGTTCTAGGCCTCCAGCTGGCTCTGGCAGGTTCCCTGTCTCTTGCACTCCAGATTACATACTTTTCCTGGATTTTTTTCCCCGGAGAACCATTATGTTTTAAAATTTCTTTTTGTTTTTAAAGACACGTGGATTTCTTGTTGCCTGGAATGCAGAATCCCCTACCTGTGGGAATGAGATGTAGGAAACAGTAACCTCCAGTTGCCTTAGAACTCCCTGTGCTTCCTGAAAGAGGAAGGAGGAGAAAAACAGCTTCCCCTGTCCAGCATCTGTTGCTGTGGAAAGGGAAGCAGACCTGCAGGTTGTGTTCTGGGAGATTTAGCTCAACCACGGGTGGGTTGTAGGAGATTTTGCTCAACCACGGGCCTCTCTGCTCTTCTCCGTGTCCCGGCTGCTCGGCCCGGCGGCGCCCCTACCTTCAGCGACTGGATCTCCTTCCTCCAGGGGCAGAGCAGCAGGTTGACGCAGAGCAGCTCCAGCACCTCCAGCGCCTTGAGCAGGTCGCGCAGGAGGCCGCGGCCGCAGCCCTGCGCGCGGCGGGCC